TTATTAATAAGTAACGTTTATGGTGACACGCAGGTGACGAGAATGCGGCCATAAGGTTGCCATAAGGTCAAGTCGACATTGACAACGACATTTTTCTAAAATTGACAAACCCTGGTGATTTAATTCTGTTTACTCATGTGCGAGTGTTGATCTAAAACTAGCTGAGCAGGGAAGCGCCTTGAATGTTCTGAACAACCCGGCAACTTGCAATGTACGCAAGCCGCATAACCCATAGCCTCCTGTTTTCGTATACTACCTACTTGCGACCGTAACCGTGACTCAACTTCCTCCAAATAAAATACAACAGGAAGGCATGAAGTATGGTCAATAGCAACTACAAACCTCCCAGCGCGCAACTTGAACGCCCAGGAAACGGCCTCGTGGAGAAGCCGGCTGTCTAGCAAGTCTGATTCAAGGGCCATCATCATGTGCTTGAAGTACAGCCAACAGCGCTACGAACTTGCCGGCACGCAACTTGAACGCCCAGGTAAATCGGTTCACACAGAAGCCGGCTGTCTAGCAAGTCTGATTCAAGGGCCATCATGTGCTACCGCCTTATCGAATAATGAGAATCTTCAGCGTCAGGTACCGGGGCACGAAGGAGACGCTGGTTAAGTCGCAAACCAAGGAAAGAGGGACAACCTATGTGATCCAAAACATATAAAAGCCTCTTTCGCTGAGACTCTAACTACAGAACTCGAGTTCTTCAATCCACACTCAATCTCTACTACTGACACACTTTGTGTTTTAACAATCCGAAACAATGTCACCCCGGCCCTTTGTCAAGAATTTGACCTTCCAGTCGTTAGTGTTCGCGATCTCGCTCTGCACAATTTTCTTACCCGACGTTTCGCAGCAACGACCTCGGTAAGGAGGTCACGATCATGCTCGCCTGGAGTCCCAACGTTGAAGGCCTCTACGAGGACGTCTTCCCGATAGTTTGGAAGTAAGTGCGTCTACTCGTGTCTTGGATGATTTAAAACCTTGCAATCCTTTCAGAGTCAGCAAATTCGGGAAGTCGGGTAGGTGTTTCTGCTATCTTGCTGCCAAGTTCCCGACTTACATGAGCCCTCTTTCTAGGTCCATACAGGGCTACTGCGACCTACACGGCCCAGTAAGATGATCGACAATAACCATAGTCTTAGAAGTCGCTTATATATTATATAGGCTTGCATTCGCCAGAGCCCAGGTCGAGAGCGGGAAGGTCATCAGCGCTGCGACCTCCGTCAATATCAATGTGAGCGATTCTCATCTTCTCCGAAATCGCTAGCACCAACGCAAGTCATGATACAGAACAGCGAGAAAACAATCCTGACAGAAGCCAACGATGTCTATCATTTCTCTGTAAGTTTGGTTTCTGTCGATTCTCATCTCGACCACCGACGAATACCTCGTGCAGACCCCTCAGGCAGGAACCGCTGGCATCCTGCAGGCCCAGAACCACACTGGAAGTATTCAAGAAATAGCAGTCGGTTTGTGACCATCATCGTCGCCTCTTCTTTTACCTGAGCGTATTGTCCACCTCCAGGCTTCGTGAACAAAGGAGATTTCATGCCCACACCCGTACTCTACTTCAGCGATGTCGGGTATGTCATCTTCCTGTATTTCTCCTTCAGAGGGTTCACACTATCAAATGCAGAGACGGCAGTCGCGTCACGGCCAAGTTCACTCCAGTCCTGCGGGCCTATATCACGTCGGACTATGAAGAGACCTCAATCTTGCGGGGTCAAGTCGACACTCCTGCGATCTGGTCGCAGGACCTGACTGGGCTTGCTCAGAACACGACTTGGAACCTCTCGCGCGACGCGAACACTGGACGTTACACGATCACTCATGCTTGATCAAGGGATGCGACATCGGTGCGTCTAGATATCCGTTCTGTGATATCTGCATCTCAACGTTTACTGTGCTTTCATAGTATATCTTCGTTCAAATCAATGGCCTCACTAAGTTGTTTATCTCTTTTTAAGATTGCTTGTATGTTATGTATTTGCGAGGGTTGAAAGTTGTAGAACTTTTTATGGGGCTTTATTTTATCTGTGTTTGAAATCTTGCGCAAGATGTCTTAAGTGTGCATGTCAAGATATTGGCTCTATGAAACCATCGACCTAACCAACACTAAAGCTCCACCGTCATGATGCATATAGCTTTGTGTGATTTTGAGATTGTACTTGTTGAATGACAGTGTCTGTAGTAAACAGGGGTTATTATTTATGTAACAAGGCTCAAGTGAACATGTGATCAGTTCCCGTGTATGAGCAGCTCAGCTAGTACCCTCGACGAGCCTGACAAACCCCAATTGCAAGATCTGCACGGTACCACCAAGTCAGGCCGTTTGATATCGAAAGAAGCAAGGTACTGACCTGAATTTCTGCTCGAGTCAGCTCATCTCACTCGATTACACCGGCAGTCGCGATGATGGAAACGGAGTCCGTTCCTGATACAGCTTTAGTCAAAGCGCTGAATTATGGCGGTACCTTCCACCAGTCATTCTCTTCTCTAGATGCCGATGTTGTGCTCGGCGCCAAAGACCATACTCTGTTCCGTATCCACTCATGGACCCTCAAGACGACATCGGGCTGGTTCCGATCCCTCTTTTCCATGCCTCAACAAAACCCTCTTCCGAATCACCCCGAGGTCATCAATCTAGACGAGGACTCGCATACACTAGAGAGTCTCCTACTCATGATCTGCGGTCTGCCGATCAATCCACTCACATCGTATGACGAGGTCGATGCATTGTTATTCGCTGCAGAAAAATACGACATGCCAGGGCCTATGTCGCTCATACGCGTGCTTATCATGACGCCCCCGCTCTTAGACCAGCCTCTGCGTCTATATGCAGCTGCAACGCGTTGTGGATGGGAAGAGGAGGCCAGACATGCATCCGCGCAGTCGCTCGCTCTCAACATCTACGCACAGGAATATCAACCCATCCTCCGAAAGCTGCACACAGGCGCTGTGCTTGACCTGATGAACTTGCATCGCAATCGACGCGAGGGCATCCGGCAACGACTCAATGAGCAGCCGTTCGTGACAGGAAGCATGACTGCGTCTTGTCCGAGGTGCAGATGGAAGATTGATCATCATACGTGGAGAGAGCTCAAGTATAAAGTTGTGATGGAGATGGATGTGCGACCGCTAGGAGACACGGTCGTTGATGTGGGATTGACTGCGTGGCCTGAGGCGACCGCATGTTGGGATGCCAGGTGCCCGAATACTGAGTGCACGTGCGTGTTGTACGACAAGGTCGAAACTTTGCGTCTCATTCGGGACTGCATCGACGGCCTTCCTAGGACGACGTGAAACGTAGTAGTGTACCATTAGACACGATATATCATGATACATAGGTTAATTAGTTGAGCAAATGTTATATTTCAAGGATGCCCAATTTTGGCCAAATTAGGAATATTCATACTCATTCATGCTCGTCTACCATCGAGTTTTCAATTATGCAGGTACAAGTCTTGCAAGGGCAGCCACACGCTGCCTCACATCCTCTGCTACGCTGTCAGAGAGCAGCAGTAGCAGCAGCACGCAACCAGACTCCATTTTTGCTGCCAAAGAATCTCCTTGGGACCATATATTGGACGACTCAATAAAAGAGATGCCACCTGTCCTCCCTTCCCCAGTCCGCGCTCACTTACGCGTTGGCGGCGTAGAAACCTCAGGACGCACTCACGCACGCAGACAAGCGATGACCGCTCGCGAAGTCAGCGCCTTCGACGAAATGTTCAACATGATCTTCGACGCAGTCTCAGAGCAAAAGAACCCCTCCGCCAAACTCTCCTCCTCGAAACAAGACCCGCTCGCTGTTCTCGACGGACTTGGAATCGGTCGCAAGCCATTCGGTCATGCTCCTACGTCAGATTTATTCGGCAGACTCAGGCGACACTCAAAACGACTGAAATGGACGACAGAGGCGGATGAGGAATTTGATAAGAAGAAGGAAGAAATGGAGCTTTGCGATACGGATCAGCAGCTGCTTGAATGGGCTATGCGCGAGGTTTTTGGGCAGTCTCAGCAATACGAGGAACGCGCGCGGAATGCTATTGCTAAAGCCGAGGAACAGCGCGCTCCAGGCCTCACCCCAACCTCCAACACAAGTGGAAGCGTAAATGCAAATCCACCGTCACAACCTACGTCTATGCACCCTGAACTCCAACACCCGACTTACCCATACCTCATCGCGCACCTCATGCGCTCTTTCCGTGATAAATACCGTGATCCCCACCTCGCTCTCTCCATCTTCGACTACGCCCGGCACTTAAGTATCCCAAGCTACGTGTTCGGGTGCACCACTCCTGCATACAACGAACTGATAGAAACCCGCTGGTCATGTTTCCGCGACCTCAGAGGCGTGCATGACGCCCTCGAAGAGATGCGGGTCAACGGCGTCGAGCCGGATGGCAGAACCAAGAAACTCGTCGAAAAACTAAGGCGGGAAGTAGGCGCGCGCACGATTTGGGAAGAGGAGTCTGTGTTTGGGAGTGGAGAAGTCGTCGGGATGTTGTCTAAGATCGAGCAGCTTACTATCAAGGAGCCGAGAAGGAAACAGGGGAAAAGGCCAGGCAAGAAACTGCCGGCTTTGGATGCGTGGAAGGGCGATGCGCTCAAGGAGGACGTGGAGGACGGGTATGAGTTCGGCCGTTGGGGTTCTCGCCAGTCACATGCACAGCCAACACGTCGGAAACAGGGCTCTGAACGGACGGCTGGATGATTTGCTGGATTCCAAGATACTGGGCGAAGATCAGCTGGAATTCAAATAGCGTATTAATGTATACATTTTTGTGGTAATTAAGGAGAGGTGGGGGTGTGCGCTACCCTGATGAGTGACAGCAGAGTTGGAAGATATAAATGACACATCGATTGATGATAAGAGATATACTTGCACGGACTGAAGATGTCTGTATACACATGAATGCAATTTCAAGCTGGTGATGCATTGATGGTAGATATACAATACCACGGTAAGCATGTCTCATTTTCTATTGCGAGAGTTAGACAGGCGAGGGCGATGGTAGACTGGCACTAAAGCTATGACAGGAACAATATCGTTATCCGCGTCAATTTGATCACACTTGAGATGATCAAAACATTGTACACGAACATAATGCAGTCTTTGTACATCTCTTCATGCATTAGCGGGTCGCATAGCTTGCACAACCAGAGCTTAAGCAACGAAGCTAGGACATGAGGATCATCTACGCCGTCAGGCGTATAATTGCCCCTATCAATGCGCAACTTCAGTTCCGACACGAAGTCGCTATCACCAGGGACTCGGTGGATGCCCTCCACTTTCACGACCCCAAGAGCGAGAATCCGTCTACGAGGAACGGGAAACCGACTGGGAGACTGCTTGTGTAGGTAGTTGCGCTCTGCAGGCGCACCGTTACGTCCAGCGGTTCCCTGAATGTGGATGGGTTGAAGGCAGCATCTGACGCGGTCTCGATCTCTACCATCGTCAGAGGCTTTATGCGTGGTCCTTTCTTCGAGATCGCAGCTAGACGGTGGAGACAGTACTTATCACGTTAACCGACCCTCTTGCTGAGCCGTTCGCTGTTGCATAAGGGAACGCAGGTAGGTCTCGAAACTCTTCGAGGGCGGTAAAGCAATAAGGAGCACATAGAATATTGTCAGCCTGTGAAGACGCTTTCCCTAAAACATTTGTAAGATGGCTAGAGACCAGATGTAGACGGATGGCATACGTCTACCATTTGGATTCCCGTTGAGCTGCTTCATCGATTGGCAATATACCTCATCCCTTAGCTTGCCACGAGCCAAACCTTCTCCAAGTAACCATCGCTGTCCCTCTAGTAAGCCCATGGTACTTCCCGTGAAGTGGTAAACTTAGGGGCGCCTGGATATATGTTGACTAGCTAGTCGCAAGGACTCGAGATGGCTACCAGCCTTCTGCTATGTCATCATTCGTGCAACTGGAGTCTTGCGCCTGAAGATGAAGCTTGTACAATGTGTCGAGAAATGTCTTGCGTAGTCTGATTCGACGAACTATGGAAAGTCTGATGTGAGGTAATGAAGGATAGGTTGATGTCTTGAGAGGAGGTATGAGGCGCTGTTAATCCATAGATGTGGCGTACTTACTACCCATATGTCAAAGTAGTACTAGGAGCAAGGTGAATAGGTTTCCTAATATCGTAATTGGTCTTCCTCCTGTGGGGCTCTTTGCAGCGCTCATGTTCTTAATTACCTCTGGACGTGTCAGGTTATCAGCCAAGAGAGTACTATCGGTAGTGAAAAGTTGTACCTTTGTTGAGAACAGGACTGCTAATAATCTTATCAAATACTGTGGCGGGGATCGACGTACTGCGTGCCATCCAAAAACTGTTGCTCGTAAGCAGTTTTGAGTTCTCGTTTCTCATTCATCTACTCTTTGGGAGGATGGCTTATGCTTAGCCGTGGTTTATCTATGGCCGACGGGGATGACGGTGGTAGCCCGTGACCAGTGTCAGAAGTAGCCTGTGGCTCAGACAACGATAGCATCTCCACAGCATCGTTGAGACTTTGTGGGATGGGGGATCGGTGTGGTACATAAGAAGATGATTTGGCCCGCGATCGCGATGGTGAGGTGTCATCGATAGTATCTGAGGCTAGACGTTTGTCTTTCTCTTTGTGGCGACTCTATCGTGTACTCCGTTCGCTGCAGCCTTTATATTCACCGGAGCGTTGACAGTATTGATTTTCGTGAGGATTGGTGAGGACAGTGGTGAAGAAGGTTCCGCTGCGTATTATGGGGTAGATGAGGTCCATTTCAAGTTGTAAGGGAAGCTTGGCCATATTATATTAATCCATAGCGAATGAGCACCTTACGGTAAGACCGTCTTCTTAGCCGGGTTACCACCAGAAGCTGATGCCCTTCCTGAAGAACACCGCGTAGATGATAAGGAGCATCGGAGCAACGAGGGCTCCTTGTTAAAACGGAACCGCATGGGTCTTTTGACTATCCAATATCAACATATATACCCACCCACTGCGACTATCGCAACGTTTGGGGAATGTCGGGCTTGTGCATGATGACAGTTGTATGGTGCGGCAGTGACGCGGCGAAATACCTGCATTAATGAGCGCTAGCGTGGTGCGGCAAGTTGCGGCATGCAGTGATTCAAAATACCTCATTACGTGAGACGAAAGAAAAGTAGGCTACAAAAGTTGAAACCAGGGAGAGTAGACCTCACAGAATACATAGTTGGGCGCACCAATTTCGCATTTCACGATCTCGTAATGTCCAGTGTCCGGGTCACGTCTGAGTGTCTGAGCCGTACAGTACTCTCCGAGTCGGTAAGCCCAGCGTAATAACCCCTGTCTACTGCTAACTACTAGCAATTGCGCACCTTGGCAGCACAATATTTGGAAAACGACCTTGCGTCACAACTTCGCCTGTTGTTCAACAACTACAATCTCAAAATCACACAAGACGCTGCATGCATCGTGACTAACAACATACACAGCTCGGGAGATCTTGTCCAACAAAACACAAGATTTCAAACACATATATAAAATCCCACAAGAAACTCTACAACTCCCAACTCTTGCGAAATACACGATAAACAAACAAACTTATAAAAAGATAAGAAACTCAGTGAGGCCATTGACTTAAACCAAGATACTATGAAAGCAGTGTAAACACAGAGATCCAGACCACACAGAACACATAGTTAGACACACCAATTTCGCATTCCTTAATCAAGATTGGACGATCGTGTAGTGTCCATTGGACGGGTCGCGTGAGAGCGTCCAAGTCGTGCTCTCAGCAAGCGCAGCGAGGTCCTGCGACCAGACCGCAGGAGTGTCGATGGCGCCTCGTATGATTGCAGTCTCTTGATAGTCCGACGTAATGTAGGCGCGCAGGATCGGGGTGAACCGAGCAGTGACATGACTGCCATCTCTGCGTTTTTCACCATGAGCGCTCTGAAGAAAGAGAAAAAATAAAACATACCCAACACCATTGAAGTAGAGTGCGGGCTGGGGCATCAAGTCTCCTGGGCTCATGAAGCCTGTATGCGGGGAATACATTGAGATGAGAGGAAAGGAGACGAGGATGTTACAAACCGACTGCAATATCCTGAATGGCCCCAGTCTCATTCACGGCCTGCAGGACACCAGAGGCTCCTGGGCGAGGGGGCTACGCGAAATATTCGTGAGTGGAAAAGATAGAGATTAACGAAGATCAGACTTACAGAGAAATGATAGACATCGTTGGCCTCGGTCAGGTTTGTTCTCTCGCTGACCTGTGTCATGACTTGTATGGGTGCTGGGAATTGCAGAGTAGATAAAAGTCTCTCACATTGATCTTAACGGCAGTTTCAGCGTCGATGATGTTCCCATCCACGACCTGCGGTTTGGAGAAAGCAAGTCTATACGTTGGATAAGCATTGTATACGAGCATGATCCGCGTCATCTTTCTTACTGGCTCGTATAGGTCGCGTGAGTCCTGTATGGACCTGGAAAGAAGGGTCATGTATAAGTTGGAAATTTGGAAACGAAAGAGTAGGAACACCCACCCGTCTCCCCGAATTTGCTGACCCTAGAAATTGCGTGGTTAAAAATTGTCAGGGACAAAAGTAGACGTACTTACTTCCAAACTACAGGGAAGAAATCCTCGTAGAGGCCTTCTATGTCGGCATCGAAAGTGAGCATGATTGTCGCCTCCTTGCCGAGGTCGTTGCTGAGAAACGACGGTGAGTCGGCTGCAAAGTTATGCAGGGTAATAGCACAAAGACACTCACGACTGGAAGGTCAAGTTTCTGACGAAGAGGTGTGACATCGTTTCAGATTGTTAAACACAGAGTGTACTAGTTGAGATTGAATGTGGGTTGAAGAGCTTGAGTTCTGTAGTTAGAGGTTCAGCAAGGAAGTCTTTTATATGTTTCGGGGCCGCATTGGCTGTACCTCCTTCTACGGTTTGCAGTTCATTCTGAATCTTTTTGAAAGCTTTCTTGTGTCTTCGTGCCTTGGTACCTGCCGCTGGTCACCTAATACATTATAGCCTCCTCTCTTTTGTTTGCCACACAATGAGAACATACCAGTTTCGAGTTATTGGCCCGTCCTGTGCCTTCAATGTCTCAGGAGTACCTGCCGCTGGGGACCCTAAGCATTGCGATGTACACACCTTTCTGATCTACAAGGCACTACAAAATGCTCGCCTTTGACTTACTAGACAGCCTGCTTCATCCTGTGGCGTTGCATGCTCGGAAGTTCGTAGCTGCCGCTGGCATTCCCGTGCCTGTCTTTCATACCTTCTTATTGTACTCCTTTCATAACGTCACAGGTAGACAATGTTGTGATCCAAAAAGTGAGCCTATAATTGTAGGGAAAGTTGAGTCGCGGTTACAGTCGCAAGCACTAGCAGGACACAAACAGGAGCCCAAGCACCATGTCGCACTTCGTGATGCACGACTGCAATATCTTACTGCATTGGCATACAGATAGCGCTAAACCCGCCGATCCTGGAGTAAGTCAGCTGTCAAACAAGCTGTTGCCAAGAGCTGAGCCTACTTGAACGGGCACATGAACTTGAGATGCGGCAAACTCCAGAGGCCACGTCCATTAGAAGTTGCAGGGTCGTTTAGTAACGGCATGTTCGCCGTGAATCCGCACGTCACCTGCTCAGCGGTCTCGGCCACTGAGTTCTATGTAGAGCAACATCCACTATGTATGGAAAACAACCTCCGTCGAAGTTCAAGTCAGAAATTAGGATGACCAAGCAAACACTTCTTGAAGCTTGAGCTTCTCGCCTTCGGAGAGCAATATCTGCCGAAGCTAAGCTTACTTTGTGTAACGAATATCTGGCAGATATCGATATCAATCAAAGCATCAGAATACAAAGAAGTGCAGGGAGCTACTAGTCAATCCTATGACCCTGCTAAAAATCGTTAAGCAGGTTATTATGTAAACGTACCCGATCAATTGCAACAATTGTTCCCACGGTCTCGCGCTCCTATGCTCATAATCTCAAAGTGGGTTTCTTGGACCAAGTGTTCGATGATCACGCACGTTCGTTTTGGCTGGTTATCAGGCTCTTTCGTGGATGGTTGCGAGGCAGGCTATGTATGTATATGAGGCATGTATTTTAGGTGTCGAACTTCTTCGTTCTTACTACCTCTAGCATGAATCACGAACCAGATCTCAGCGGATGCCCTTGTGCGACCTGAGCAACATCAATCCACTCGATCATTGTACAGTGCCCCTTGACTTCCCGGTACTTGATACGGATACACCCCCAAAAGTACTGTCTAGAAGCCATTCGGAAGCCTCACATCTACTAAAACAGACAGGAACAATTTGACATTGACCTCTGGCCAGAACATATCCACGACTTCCTAGTCGACGCACATCTTCGAAAAGAACGCCGCCCTCGTCGAATCGCAGTTTCACCCTCATCCTGGTAGCATCATTCCTTTTCTACACGTGCTTTCTGATGCCAAGGGGCCTGGAGCATGTTTCCTGCCGGAAAACTCCCCCTCCCTTCGCCCAAAACGAACACCCATTATACTCCTTGGACTTTTCTCTATCAAGGACAGCCATCCCGACATTCCCCGATATGTGGGCCAGGTTGGTTTGGAGACTTGACAGGCGAAGTTGTTACCGAAACTCTCTGAATAGGGTCAGAAAGTTAAGTGGAATTGTTGGCAGGCTGAGGTACACCAGGGTCATCAACAAGAACATCTGGCCAAAGGGGATGAGAGTCTGCAGGGCATGTGGTTACACAGCCGATCTGGAATGATGAAGAACACTGATGAGCACTACAGCGATAGGCGCAGTTCATTTGGCTAAATTCTTCATGCTCAAACGACGACGACGATCTTGTTCACGGGTTGTAATGGTGACGTGGGAGGATCAGGGAGGGTCTAGTCCAGGCAGATCAATTACTGTCACGCTGTAATCGCAAGTGCCAGAAAGCCACAATCGTGGCGGAAACATCATGACGTGTTACATCATATAAGTCCATTATAATCAGCAGACGAATAAGTACCCATGGACAAACACCACATGCACATGTACATACGTAGAAAGACAAGATATTAACTAGCCTCGAAAAGGTATGGTATGAGCATAGTCAGTTTCAGAAAAGTTGTGAGCGTGCGAGATCAAATCCCAATTCCACGAGCATCCGTTGTGCTACATAGTCTGTTGTTTCCGACTCCAAAGTCCAAAAATACAACTCATCAGAGGAGTTGTTTCCAACCCGCATCACGACACTTCTTCACGAGGCGCTTCACCTCTTGCGATCGTGCACGTGTGGTGACGAGAAGGGTATCAGGCATGTCAACAATAACCAGATCATCGACGCCCAGGCACGTGATGAGACGTCCTGAGCCGGGTACCACAATTCCTCCAGCAACTTGTTCCGTCAGCACTGTCGAAGAGAGATGAAATCAACCAAGGCGACTTGGTGAGAAAAGGTAAAAATAATCACCCAAAGAGCTGTCCCCAAGGACACGAGGTTGATTAGATTCAGCAGGCAGTAGATCTGCGAGCGAAGAGAAGTCTCCGACATCATCCCAGCCTAAAGTCCGATATTAATCTACGTCCCTTCCTCCACAATAAAAATGGAATGTGGAAACATACCAAACGTCGCTGGTACTACAGCAACCTTACCCTCAGCAGCGGCAGGTTCAGCAACTGCATTGTCGATCGGGATCTTCTCGAGCTCGGGCCAGATTTCGTTGAGAGCGGTCTGACGCAACGCCTCGTCATGCCACACGGCCGCAATCTTTTGTAGCCCATCGTGGAGTTCCGGCTTGTATTCTTTAAGAAGATCCAAGAGAACAGTCGCTTTTGTAACAAACATCCCTGCATTCCATCGGTAATTTCCGGTACCTATATATGCAGCAGCAGTGCGCGCATCAGGTTTCTCTTTGAAACTGGAAACAAGCCTTGCGTTTGGAGCTTCCTTGATGCCTAGTTTATTTCCAAGTCGAATATAACCAAAGCCGGTAGAAGGATGAGAGGGCGCAATGCCAATGGTAACGAGATAATCTTTTTTCGCCACCTCAACAGCTTCCGCAACAGCAGAAAGGAAGGCGTCGTCGCCTGAAATCATGTGGTCAGCAGCAAAAGAACCGATGACGGCATTGGAGTCCCGTTTTGCAAGAACAGCTGCGGCAAGTCCGATAGCTGCCATAGAATCCTTTGGACCAGGCTCGCAAATCAAGTTGTGCACGAGAAGGTCAGGCAGCTGCTCGCGGATGGACTTAACATGGCCGGGACCCGCAACCACAGTGGTGCGGAGGGGAGATGAAAGAGGGAGAAGACGATCCCAGGTGGCTTGAATTAAGGAACGTCCCTTAAGAGTTAAGTCGAGAAGGAATTTCGGGTGTTCTTCTCGAGATAGCGGCCATAACCGCGTACCAGCACCTCCTGCGGGAATTACAACGTAGAACCCGGGAATGTCGCGCACACCGAGTTGGAAAGGAGTGACCGCGTTATCGCCCAATGGAGATGGGAAGTGGTTGGTGGGTGTAGTGACAAGGGATGGGATACTGTGCGGAGATAGGAATGGGGATTTGGCCCGGAGCTGAGGGCTGCCGGGCACTGGAGTCACAAAGCCAGAGCCTATACGCGAGCTGGCGTAGTAGTTTCCGTTCCCATTTTGCTGCTGCAATCGAAAAAATCTTGGAATTTAGAATCTGTTGAAGTGCAAAGTCATCCCGCTCACCTGAAACCCTTCCCGGATTTGACGTTCCAAGCTTGCGTTTGCCAACCGTAGGTCAGCACATTCCTGCCGGAGATCAGATATCTCAGCTTGCTATGTGTAGATGCATGAGCTACTGTATTTGAGAATGTCTTACATGATGGATGGAACTTACTGATTTCTGGACTGCGCCCATGATTTGACTAAACATGTATTCAACAGGAAGAGCATTTTCGCTGCTGCTGACCTGCCCGGCAGGTGGGGCAGCAGAACTGTACGGAAAGGACATGGTTGATGAGTCGATGTTAAGGGTATTGCGTTAGCTGTCAGAGTGCAGTTTTATATATATATAAGCGTGGTCCGTTTTTTTTGCAAACGTGTACGAAGGCTTTTAGCGCTTATTCTAGATATCGTCTATTTCGGGACTTGCCCCAAGTCCTATTCGGTAGCGTCACGGAGCATGGTATGTAAATCAATTGTTGCTCTTTAGGGTAAGCTTCCATGCTAACAAGCACCCGCAACTAGCTCGCTCGGGATAAGGTCATCCGTGAAAGAACCACCGTTAACGTTATGAGCCCGGACATGACTTATCGTACGAGTTCAACGATGTTGGCAACAGGATAGGATAGGTATTTTACTCGTTTCCTGTTGTCAGTGACACCGCACTAGCAGGATCCGGCCAATTACTCAAAGCCCAGGCGCTGGCGAAATATGAAATATTCAACGCTTTGCGGCTCATGTGATATACACAGCTGACTAGTCTTCATCACTCTCAAATTCGAGAGCTTGGTACTTCCTTGCCTTCTTATTCGGGTTGGCCAAAGATGCGCCCTTCGGAGGTCGAGAGCTGGCTGAAGGTTCTATTCCGCAGTAGAATCAGCTGCCTCTGAGTACGTGGCACGCAACAGGGGCTTACTGGATATCGCATCACCTGACGGAGACTTTTCTTTGGAACGAGCAAGTTCCGCTTCAAGAGCCTTGATTTTCCGTTCAGCTGCCTGATTGACAGCAGGGACAGGGACCTGACTCAGGCCTAAGGGTGTGCGTTTTGACGGAAGTATTGAAGCTATGGCAATGAGTTCAACATGCGCATCAACGTTGACAAGGGACGCAGCGGACCTGAATTAGCGTGGGATGACTCTGCGACAACGTTACGGGGCGCGAAAAGAGGGTTCAGCTGGCATTTGCGGGACTGGGCTTGTAGTGCAATCTTGATACGAGTCAAATATTGTTGGTGAGCAAGCCAACGATTCATGTGCCTTACGTCAATGAACAACGCGGTTGCCTGAGATGCAGCTTCGGCTGCTGACAATTCTTTCAAAGCCATGTGCAGTGGACGCTTGGCAGTTGGCCCAAAAGTGAGCTAATCAAGTCCTGCATTGTCGGCTGGGTACAGTCCGTACATCAAGAGGAGTATTTACGTTGATGTCCGAGTCTTTCTCAGTCCAGTCTCCAATGGCGAGATCACCGTTTACGAATGTCGTCCGAAGCTTTTCAGCGAAGTTCTCAAGCACCTGAGGGCTTGGTTGCACGCCCTAGAATGATGCACGATCAGGGTAAGGGTGGTCGAAAGGCTTCGACACGAACGTTGGTGATGCTAAGGATATGTTTGGTGGACCATGAGCCTCGCCACCACCTGCCTTCTGGTCCCTTGAGGCCTAAGTAAATCGACCATGCAGATTCAGTTACTTGCGATAGTAGGACAAATCGATCGAAGCCCTGGTAGATAACTTGTATGAGTTCGTCAAGAACCCCAAAATGTGACAAGACGTCGGTGGACATGATGAAGCTGTAAGAGCTTGACTGAATCTTTGACGTTTAAATTTAGTACTCATTGCCTTCCAAAACAAGCATTTAGGTATTGATACCTATATCCCACGCACAGACCATCAACAAGAGACTATATAAACCAGTCCTCAAACTTTCATGTTTCCTCAGAACATACTCAGCTAGGATCTATTTTATAGAAACTAACTCGAGTCTCGCATGTTTACACATGCCACATTCTTCAATTCCGCTGGATGACACTAGCGCTCACTCGTTCGACAGAGAACATGGTCTCCGCTTGTGGGGATTTCGAGGACGTTTGGGTTTGTGCATTGTCAAGCTGCTTGCAGCCTGGTGAAGCCACACCCAGCGAGTTGAGCGTCTGTCTGACGGAACTCTAAGATAATATCGTTAGCTTACGATAGATCTGTATTCATTTATGTTGTATAAAAAAATCTGTTGTTCGTATGTTCAAAGAACACGATTACCACTTTTGGAATTTGTTCATCGAGTCACTCAACGAGACCAACGTAACCTCAAGCTATACCAACGATAGCAACTCTAATGTTGTAGCATTCAAATTATACAAGTGTTAGCGTACATAAACATACAAAGATTACGTTACATGAGTCCTGCATCCGAAGCACGGCGTCTCAGCTTGTTCGCCCATCCATACCTTTCACCATCTACGTCTCCACTGACCCGATTCATCGATGTCTCTGACTGTTCAATACCGCCATTGTATTTGCGTGTCCATTGATGGTCTGTGAAACCTTGCTCCCGTATTTGTCGAGACGCGGTAAAAACGTTCCAAGATGCCGCATTGCTGAAGAAATCATCCATTTGCTCAAGAGGACGACCTGAAGTTTCTGGATCTACAAAAAGAACCGCCGCGTCAGTAGGATCACACATTGAAAACAGTAAGATGTAAGCCGTACACATGAAAATGATAAAGGGGATCACGAATATATTGAGGCCAAAGAGGAGCAGGAGCACACCATATTCGATCGCCTGAAACAAGAAAGGCTAGGGAAAGGACCATTAATTCGTTTGCAAATATTCGATCCTTCAACGACGTACGGTAATCATAGTCACGACGCCATTTCCTATGGACCATCCAACAACAGACCATGCACCTCCTTTGGCCCGAACATATGTAGCTGCATTGTCTCAGAGAAAAGAATTGGGCAAAGGAATTGATCACACTCACGAAAGAGCTCAGTTGGATAAAGCCACGGAGTTACTAGCCAGGTGGCACCAAACGTGCCGGTATACAGGAACTGGGAGGCACATCATTTACAAAAAGGACTTCACGATACCAGAATCGGTTGCTTACTGTCATCGCTACGACTCCCGCGCCATATGCCCGTTGATTGGGGCCCCCTGATTGCGCGTCTATCGAGTGATATGAGCGACGATCAAACAGAGTAAACGTAGTATATCACATTTGTCCAGGATGCCACCAACGAGCAGGAGCAACGCCATGCCAGCAGCCCCCCATACCATTGTGCCTCGTCGGCCAAACCTATCCAGAGTGAACACGGCAAAGAGCACGCTGAACATGTAGGACAGGTTATTGAATCCAGCCAAGAGTTTCGCCTCGTCTTGGCTGAAGCCAGCGCCCTGAATAAGATCAATGGCTGCATATAACGTCAGAGAAGTAGCGAGAGCTTGTAGAAGAAAGTGCTTTGCCGTAGACAGTGATGACTCCGATGCCGACGAGCTCTTGCATAATCTGGAGCCATACACTTAGAACAACTCTCCGTCGTAGTTCGCGCTGGCTCTTTGTCCTCGGAAATAGCATGCGAATATAAGTATTGTTTTCTGCGTGCTGGTGATCATGTATCACGTTCTGCACAATGGCAGCGAGCTCAGCCTCAACTCCATCCTTGTGGGTGGCTTGCAACACATTGCGTGCTTCGGAGACACGGCCGACTTTTGCCAGCCATCGAGGGGACTCCGGAAAGAAAGGTACAAGCGCTGTGATGGGTTAACATAAGCGAGGTTGGGTAAAGGATCGGGACGAACCGAGAATCGTGAGCAGAAACACGACTTGCAGTGCCAGGGGTGTGCGCCATGCCATTACCTGATTGTTGCTCATGCTCGCAAATCTACAGATACGTCAGACAATTGGTTTATAACAGGATGCTTGAAACGGGCTGACATCTCTATCCAATATGCCAATGACAGTCCACCGATGTTCAGGAAGAACTCGATGGCAAGAAAGCTGCCTCGTGCTGTATGTGAAGAAACTTCGCTGCTCCAGACAGGAATGACTTTGATAAAAAAATAAGTACAGAGAATCAAGATAAGAACGTATGGTTATCCACCTGCGTCGATGGCTCCCACGCCGAGACCAGTCACGACTCGTGCACAACACATCCAAGTGATGTTCATCGCGGAGGCTTGAAATGTTGCTCCGATGATCGAGACAATGACACCCAATATTATGGCAGTTATACGTCCCGACCTGTCGGCGATAGAACCGCCAAGCAGCGCTCCGATGAGGGAACCGCCGTAATAAACCTGATAGACATGCAGTAAAGGTTACTGTCAAGAAGCTTGCAACTTACAGAAACAATTCCCCCAAGCGCCGCGAGGTTACGTGAGTTTCCCGTGGTGGGGTAGATGCCCATCAATTTCAGGTAATCCTCATTAAGATTCACTTGAGACATGACCCTGCGCGTCGGTGTGTTAACGTTCACTCGGAAGAGGAAGTGCAGGGAGGTGTACCCTTGGTCATAACCCTAATCGATCGATCAGCTTTTGATAGGCGAAGAACATGGAACTACTTACATAAAAAAGAATCGCTAGACCAGCAAGCAGATTATTTGCCCAGTTATACGAATTCGGGTTACGGAACTTGAACATTCGCGTAGCCGAATAACTCTACAAGTGAGATGTACGTCACTGGTAAGCGTCTCGAAGGTAAGATCCAAGGAAAGTAGACTTACAGGTAAATACTTACTCATCCACCATTCAGATGTGACAGGAACATTCTCTGCATCGGATGTTACAACAATTGCGGATGTTTTAAACGAAACTACATCGTTGCTAGCACCATTGAAGGATCTAGACGAACCTACGGAGAGTGATCGTTGCTCCGAATTGTTCTGCATCTCGCGCGAGGTGTAAGGTGAAGATCGCTCTGTTTCCATAAAGTGGTGGATGGGCTTTCCGGTGAGAAGAACCAGACTGCGGACTTGAGGCTAACCACTGTCCGTATTTATAGTCAGTCAATCAGTCGAGTGGAGAGCCAGCTTATGTTCTGGGTCTCAATCCAAGGACGGTGATGTCAGAAGGCCGAGGTCTGACCCATGTTTCGACTCTTGATAATAGCCGGCTAAGTAAAGATCCCGACAGGAGATTCCTTGTGGGGCCGCCTGAAAATGTACAAGATCTTGAAAGGATCAATGGGATACTGGATTCGCAATCACAGACATACCAAATGTGTAAGTACAAAGTCCATTCAAAGAATCGCGGTGCTCGGTCTTGGCCCGGACCGTGGCTCTCTCTAAATGACGATTGCATCATCTAGTCAGGCTCCCTAGCTGATGAAACAATGAGGTACAATCCAATCAGCACTGGCGCAAACTCGAAAGCTTTCAGTCAATTGCCCGTACGTTGATAATTGTGCCTTGAGTTACTTGCAATTTTGGTGGCCGAGGATCAATAGGCTTCAAGTACAAAGCCAAAGTCTCCTACATTCAATCTGATATTCCCAGTCAGAGTAGTAAAACGGCACAGAGCTCCCGCCAGGTGGGATGACGTAGCCGTATTACGTAAGAAATGCGGGTTTTAAATAATTACATTCGTTGTTTTTTGTCGCACTAGTGACACCAACGACCTGAGAGTTTCGGCGAAGAAGGAAAAAAACCAAATAGATTTTACTGCGGATGGTGGAACAGATAAGAATGAAAGCAAAAAAGAGAGCCACAATCAAACCATAGCATTAGAGGTCCGCTAGTCCCGGAAAAAGGCGGTCTGCGTTGGGTCTGTCTGCTCTTTTCATCATGGTTTGTGAACCTACGTTAGACTTGAGCTTGAAGTCTGCAGATAGTGGATATGAATTGATCAGAGCTGGCCGTTGGCAAGGTCCCTTGCTATTAGCTGAGTAGTCCATTGATCAAATTATCAAATAATGCATGACTCAGTGATAGCGGAACCAGCTGCGGTTTGACATGTACTCCACATGCTTCCAGTGCGCTAGAAAATTGCGGCCATCATGGTGCATGACACTGCATGTGCATGAGGCCCGGGAGTGGCAGGCTGTGTAGCGCCTATGCTAGCCCACGTATCATTACATTCGCTTGCTCCAACCAACACATCATGACACTTAAATCCTCCCAGGCAACCAAGTACGTTTGATTGAACTGATATTAAATCTAAGCGTGTTATAGACATCCTGACTTCCCTGATTGGCAGTCGTACAGATGCAATGCATGCTGGTCGAGGAGCATCAAGTCATCTTTCCACGATCGAAATTAAGCGCTCGAATTTCCGGTACATACTTTAATTTTCATGCAACAATGCCCGCAATAAGTCACAGGTAGTGTAGACGCATGATCACTCGTGGGTGGCGTTGGTGTGGATACACGTAGTTGAATGAATTTCATCTCGCCCGCTTCGTCTTGTATATCAAGTTATCGCCTCATAAAAGACGCAAAAGGTCTCATCACAAGGAACGAGGCATCCATAATAATAATCCTTTCTGAGCGACGGAGACAACCATGAATCATGTAACGTTGTCGTGGGTGCATGAATGAGACGATAAAAACTAGATTTGATCGATAAGCCTCTTTCAGTTCGGATTCAACAGCAAAGCTCGCGCTTTGGAAATATAATTTAATAATTACGGAGCATCAACAGGGTTCCAGCTGATGGACCCCTCTTTTCCACGGTCAAGTCCGTCAAGTTGCTCCATCTCTTCGGGTTCCAGTTCAAAATCGTACAATTGAGCGTTTGATCTGATGCGTTCTGGCGTTGCTGATTTGGGCAACGGAACGAACCTAAACCGATGTGAATTCGACATGAAAAATGAAGAGACGGCGCCAAACCCTTTTTGAAGCGACCACCGAAGGAGCACTTGGGCTGCGTCGCGACCATGCTAAGAAGGCCTTTTAGTCATATCTGGTATAGCGCCTCAGAAGCAGGACTAACATTCTGCGCCATTGTTTGAATGATCGGATGATCCATTTTCCCTCGCATAATCGGACAGTAGGCTTGGACCACGATCGAGTGTTCACGGCAATAGTCCACTATGGGCCGCTGCTGGCAAAATGGGTGAAGCTGCCAGCATGCAATGAGTGGAATGGTACTACTGTTCATCAAAATCAGTTGCGTGCCTCAATTTGATTCACCGCAGGCATAACATATTTTGCATCTGCAATCTCTTCTAAATGCTTGATCCCACTGTGAGGTGTATTACGACTATAGCTCTTCTTTACTAGGAAACGAGGCAGAAAACGCACTAATTTGAAACGCCAATAGATCGTATTTTGCCCGCATCACGGGCATCTTGCAAAGCCCTGTATGTGGCTAGACGGCGCTCAGTGCCAGAATACGGATCGTGAATGAGGAATAAGTCGATGTACTCTAATTTAAAAAGACGTAAGAATATTTACCAAGAATTCGTTCAACAATGACTCACTAAAGCCAAATTTAGCGAGAGATTCATCGACACCCTTCAGCGTGCTATCATACCCATGGTTTTTGCTGATACATTTTGTCGCTAATGTTCGGTAAGGGATGGAAGCTCATTTCCTGAACCACCTTCATGACACGCACTGATGAAAAGTTCTCCTCGGTCAATGCCGCTATCTCTGACAGCTTCCCCAACAGCCGCTTCATTGCGATAAGCCTGGGCTGAATCCACGTGTCTGAGATGGTTCATTACAATGGGGGAAGCATCAACGATGGTCATAAATTATATCACCTGAAGCCCGCTTGCAATGCCTCAAGAACTGACGCTCGGGTAGTGAAATTTTGATACACGCCAAATCCCAGGAGTGGCATTGTATGGCCTATGGTCGTGCCGTACGAGGGATTCTCACTAGTTTAGCCGTAGACAGGTATTAAAAACACAAATTATTACCTGACACCAGTTGAATTCTAGACTCGATCGTAAGTGTCATAGTACAAGGTGGACTCGGTAAACGTGTCCATCGTGCCAAGTATCCGCAGCTTCCTCAGGCTGCTTCATTATTTGTAACAGCTTGTCAGTCCCGATTTGAAAAGTCCGCTGAGACGTAAAAATAAAGGCAAGCGAGAGAAACGTCAGGAACAAACTATGTAGTGTACAGTTCACGATGAGATCAAAGAAGTATATTCACGTTGGGCGCCAAGAGACCTCTATTGTCATTCGCTAGTCAAACTCGGGAAGCGATGATTAAAGTACGTGCTCAATGCACTGCGGGCAAGGTCAGCTGGGCAATCAGGCCGAAACTTCGAAAACCTTAACCTTACTGAGTACTGTGACCGCACATTAGTCTGCCCCGCTCTAAGACTGCATCGCTCTTTGTCTCTCTAAGCGCTCTTGCATCACTCTCTGCGCATCTGCTTTCGCCGAGTCAAGCTTTCCAGCCTTTGCTAGAGCCAACAATAAAGCATGCACAAGGCCGATGTGATTGTGGCGACGCGAGCTGTTCTCAAACTTTGAAAACAGAATCAAAAGTGTGAGCATGGGCGAAAAAATATTCGGTACTCACTGCCCAGCGTTCGCGCTTGGAGTTTTCATTGGAAATTTTGTTCATAAGATCGCTCATTTCAGCGTCCTCTGCTGAACCTTGTAGAGCGTCTAAACGTCTTCTCATTCCAGGTATTGGGTCATCCCGAAGAGCGAGTAAGCTGAACTCAAGCTACGGAATATAAGTTAAAACATAAAACGTAAAATATATATTTTGCTCACTGCTCCAGTCGGGTAAGTGTGTATCCGGTTCTCTATAACTTCCCTAGAAAGCGGGGATTCAATGACAAATATGACGACGGCGTGTCACTAAGTACCTTGCTTTTTTAACCCATCCCTCTCCGGATCCGTCGTATTCTCCATGTCGCACCGGATAGGGTTTCAGTCCATCCAGTTCATACAGACTTCCCAGCACTGGAAGGTAAACAACGAAGTGATAGGCTTCTTCGCTCTTCTTCGGAAGGTCTGGACCATCTAACGAGATAGAACTAGGTGGAGAAAGCGCGTTATGAGCTTCTCGAAGCCAATCCGCGCTTGTGATAGCCATCCCACATGTTTGTGGGTCCATGCCTGCGGTAAAGTTCAAGAGGTCCATAAATTGCGGTCCTGCATGGAGAGATGCAATGTTTCCCAGGGCGTTGACAACAGCAAGTGTAGCGCAAGCGTTGTTCACAGTTTGATGGGCGAAGAATCCGGGGAAATCTGAATCATAGTGACCAGCACCAACACCAGGCTCGTCGTCAGGTGATTCAGGGAACCACTTAAACAAGAAGATTAGGGCATGCACAGGCTGTAGCGCCTCCAATGATTCTGGTTCAAGTGAGTAGAGGTCATCGACGATGTAAGGCACTCCGAGGCTTTTGAGTAGCTCTCTGTGACCGGTTGCGTGAGTCAGGTAGATCAGTTATCATCATTTCAACATACGTGAACACCCCAGGGTCAGATTCTGTAAGTTGCCAGCCACTAGAGTCCTCGTCTGACATTATTCACGACGTGCAAAAGCAAAAACAACAAATTATACCGCGCGTCTAGGTTCGGCTTGCCACGTGACCCTTGTTTGGTGATGCCTTCCGTTCATAACAAGCTTTCTCTGCAATTGCACATGATGGAGGCTTCTGACCCTGCGCAATCGCCTCAGGCCACGACAGAAGATCCGCGAGCTGCTAATCGCGACAAATTCGAGCTTGAACTGGAATTTGTGCAGTCGCTGGCAAACCCATACTACCTCCATTCTCTCGCACAGCAGAATATCCTTGATCAACCTGCATTCATTAACTATCTGGAGTATCTCACGTACTGGAAAGAGAAGGATTATGCCCGGTTTATACAGTTCGTCCATAGTTTGCGAGCATTTACTATACTGCAACCGATGTTTTTGTTCAGCTACCCACACGCACTGCACCATCTTGATTTGCTCCAACACGCCCAATTTAGGTCAGAAATGAAGAAAGATGAATGGCGCGAATATCTCAACCAGAAGCAGTATGACCACTGGCGAACATGGTATGAAACACAGGAGTTTATTAGAGATACTTTCTTGATAATAATCTGTCGCGTCAGGCGAGATTACCCAGGGATTAGTACTAATGTTGCCTCCACCGACCCTCAAGAAACCGGTGTGCAATCGCAACAGAACGCTCCTTTTGGGTGATATGGTTTACCGGATGTCTTGGCGGAAGCATATGGAGCTTTGGTTAATGAAAGTAACCATAAAATGAAGCGTTGCCAAACATACAGACTCGCCGTTTGACACAAGGAGTTACTGCTCTATGTTATGACATATGATTTGGTTCTTACATAAATCCTTCGGGCTGTCTTCAAATTGAAAGTTCCCACGCGTGTTAAACACTTCACGCGCAGTGCCACCGTTGCTTGGAATCTTACTGTACATGGCTCACCATGCTGAAAATGACTCTGAAGGTCGTCACTCGTACATACCGGTGGAATCAAGCTTCAGGGAGAGTGACCGCGGCGAATCCTCCTTTCATATTGCGTCGCTTGCAGAGAAACAGCGAATATGGTGGAGAACTGCCATCATTAATACGTGCTTCATAGCTTCATGGTACGTGGATGTTACTGTAAGACTCCTGAAACGGGTTCATATGTTGACCACATAGGTATATATTCGCAACCCTACTGTCTTTGTACAACAAGTGGATGTTTTCGCCAGACCTTTTTGGATTTCCGTACCCGCTCTTCGTGACTACCTTGCACATGATTATTCAGTTTGTCTTGGCTGCAGCTCTTCGGGTCTGTTTCTCGCATCATTTCCGGCCAGAGAGAAGCCCTTCGGTAAAAGACTATGGGTACGTACTTTCTCGCAATAGCTAGTACCCGTCGGGCAGTCCTTGTCCTCACTGGACACCGGTTCTAATTGTAGCCTCTTTGAAGCAAGAAAGCAGTTCCTACTGCCATTGCTACCGGTCTCGATATTGGTCTGTCGAACCTATCACTCAAGACTATTACCCTATCATTCTATAGTGAGTTGCCAGTTCTGAACTTTGCCAGACGCTAGCTGGCCTACGTTTGAATTCTTAATATGTAATTTGCGCTCAACTCATACATCTGGTTGTCTACAGCAATGTGCAAGTCATCTTCTCTAATCTTCGTGTTGTCCTTTGCATTTTTCTTCCGTCTGGAAGTGTTCTCTCTGCGACTTGTCGCTGTCATCCTTCTCATTTTTGGTGGAGTGATTCTTATGGTTGCTTCTGAAACGGCCTTCGTTCTTCCCGGGTTTTTACTTGTGATGACCGCCAGTGCATGTGGGGGTCTCCGTTGGAGCCTTACGCAACTGCTCTTGAAGAACAAGAATATGGGTCTAGATAATCCTGCAGCTACCATATTCTGGTTGGCTCCTACAATAGGCGCCACGACAGCTCTTCTTAGCGCCATCTGGGAGGGGTGGTTTACCATATACGCTTCGCCATTCTTTCAGGACATGGCTTCCACCCTTCGTTCGGGCCTGTTCTTGGTCGCGCCCGGTATTTTGGCTTTTTGTATGGTCATGAGTGAATACTAGTACGTTTATGACCATACGCTCAACTCCATGATGCCATCTAATTAGGTCATAAAAGCATAATTCAACGGGCCGGAGTCCTGCCAATGTCAATAGCAGGGATAGCCAAAGAAGTGTCGACTATTACAATTTCGGCTTGGTTTTTCGGAGACACGCTTACGCCACTCAATATAACCGGCGTAGGTATCACAGTTTGCGGTCCGTTTCGAAGCTATATGAATGCGGCACTTCTAACGGCATCTGTAGGGATTGCCCTTTTTACGTTTCACAAGTACCGCAATTCCATTGATGGTAGACTATCAGTGGACGCGCAGGGGAACATGGTAGCAATTAACCATGAAGATGTGGGCAACTCGTCAGATTCTGTGCACGGGGTCAACTTTGAGCTCAGTCCTGCTAATCTCGGACGTCGAGAGGATGGTCATTTTGCGGTATGTCGCATCGTTACGGAAAACCCTTCTAGAATTATGTATTCATCGAAACGCCACAAAGCATCAGGGGTCTGTTGATAGCGACGCGCATCAGCGCCTGCTTTTTTCCACCGATCATGACGATTCGGATGATCATCATGAAGGCGAAGAAGATGCCGAACTAGTCCGGAGCATTCAGTTCTCTAAGTTCAATTGGGAGGCTGAAAGAGGTATTGACGAGAACTAGGGCCCCGGATGCGCTTCCAATTACATAGCCATCATATGCAGACTAGTTACCAACCTTGACCTTTTTTTTTTTGACAAGTTGCAGCCCGAAGCGGCTCTTTGAAAGTGAATCCTCCGGCCCATTTGCACCTGATTGACTTGCCCGGGTCGGGAGACTGGAGTCCCACTAACCGTAGGTCTTCTGGTACTAAATATTACGAACCATTACCTCTCTAATTTGGTCCCGAGCCGTGCACAACTCAAGTTTGTATTAAGCTTAGCTTACGTTGATGTGCAATAATAGTGAACTGTTTGAGTTATGGTTCGAAATTATTGATCCGAGGACACCTGGCTCTGGCTGACTTCTGTTCCGTTGAGCCCGGGAACCACGCGGCCTGTCTTGCGACTTGGTGGTGATGTGATTTTTTGGTTTAGATGATTGGGCCACACGAATTGGGAGACAAATTGTAGCAAATCGTGTTCGGTTACTGCGGAATATTATCTGATGCGATCAATTTAGTCAGCACAGCAAAAACCCTTGAACGAAAGACATGTGGCTGCGCTGGAAAATACCTGGATACGGTGTGAAAATCAGACCCAAGTCCCTCCAAAGTGCCTGTAGGAGGCGATGAGCGGCCTTGCGCACTACGCACTGGCAGGCCCATCAAGGAGCCGGGCACTCCCGTAGGTCAAATTAGAAGGCGATAATCGGACTGCTGCTTTATGACGTGTAACAGTCTAGAGCTTTTGTGATGCGACTAGTAAGTGATATTTCCCGCACGTTTTTTTTTTGCCATCAATGATTAAGTGCTTTGTACTGATTGTCAATCCTATTACGATATGAAACCAGAAGAAACGGCCATTCACGGATTGACTAATAGCATCTGCTAGATCGTTGAAATGCTGGGTTAATGGCGACGTTCTGTTGGGTAAGAGGCCCGATCCATTGTCGCTTATGGACCTTGTATGGGCACGGGAAATCAGCGATATTTCACTTTTGATCTGACTTTCTTCGTGTACAGATCTCACACAACGGCCTCGAGGTATTTAGGCTGTGTGATATATAAATCCGGGCTATTCTGGCTTTTGGATTATTCACTTTACCATGGATGGTTTTCAATTCATTATCGAGTCCCCTCAAGAGACCCAAGGTCACAAAAAACGCCCGCGTCTTGTGACTTCTTGTGATAACTGGTACTGCCCATTCAAATCTCCATCAAGTAATCCATGCTGACCTTTCACCTTGTCCCTCTCCTAGCCGCCTCAAAAAAATCAAGTGTCTACAGTCATCCCCCGAGACACAATGTGAGGCCTGCAAGGCAGCGAAAATTCCATGCAAGTTTCGCGATCGCGAACGATATTTTGCCGAGCGCAGTCGAGCCATCGCGGGCCCCAGTTCCTCGCCAACATACCATGGATTATCGAGTAGAGCAACGATCACGGCTTCAGAGTCTTCAGAGCGCTCCAATTCGAGTGGTGCAAATGAGCACGCCACTCCGGCATCGACCGCACACACGCCACCATCGCAGGGATATGCCAACTCCATGTCTCGCTCTCCGTCCTACTCGCCACCAGGGACATCATCCGCAGATCATGGTCGATATCAAACCTATCCAGATCATTCAAGGCCTCCTCCAACTCATAGGTAATACATCCACACCTCTCAGATATCAACATTCATTGACATGGCCATGGAAGACATACAACTGGAGGTGATGATCACATTCGTCGATATGGAACTCCCGGTCCAGGTCAGGCATTGGGTCGTTCCCATGCTACATCGAGCGGCTACCGGCCAACTCAGGTCTTCGACCCCATGAATCCTCAGATGCCACAACGCAGCTGGATGCCCCATTTCATCCAGATATTCATCAGTCAACTTGGCAGCCAATGCGCGTTCATGACTTATGACGACCTATATGAAAAATTCCGACACCAGACTCTATCCCCTCTACTCTCCAACTGTATCGCAGCACTCGGCGCAAGGTCTGTCTTCTGCGATGCACTCAACTTGTATATGAACGAGATCAAACAGGTTCTCTGACATACCGGATGTTGTCGCGCGTGGTCCCCAGAACGTTGCAGATATTTTCTGTGAGAACGCCAAGGTTCGTGATCGTGTGTGTGGGTCCTGCTGATCTAATGGAATGAGTAGGAGATGTTATCCGCGGCACTTAACCAACCATCTCTCGATGTTCTTCACGCTGTCATCACCCTGGCATGGACAGAATACAAAACTGGTCGGCTTCTTGGTAAGTACTGGGAATGTTTCCCGTGTTCATCGGCTAAATGCTTGGCTCCTAGGATTCCGACAATACGGTGATGTGAGTGAAACTGGGA